TATGACCTTTGTGAACTGTGAGGCGAACTGCTGAACACAACCGGGTCAACTTCAGATCCAGGTCCTTAGACTTAGCCTCACTTTGGTTAAGCTGCCGTTGCAGGGCTTCACATTTTTGTTCACTCAGGACAACCCGTGCGGTCAACTTCCTGACCTGGTCCTTGGCATTTTCTAACGCGTCCTTCATCTGGGTGTACGTGTCCCTATGTTGTTGTCCGCTCTGCTGCAGGAAAGCCTCTTTCTCCTGCAGCAGCTCCTGACTCTGCTGCTCCTTGGACTCCATTTCTAACAGATGACACTGAAGAACTGCGACCTGCAAGAGCAAATATTAAGTATGGGTCACATGATATAGGAGACTTTTTTTTCATACTTGTGCAGTCATGTGATCGCAGCTGTCAATCAAGATGGGCCAGCTAATATATTGTTTCCCAAAGATTGGGTCGCAACCCTCAGGTGGGTCGCAAGATTTTTTTTTGGGTCGCCCGCATCATGTCGCGAAGGTTTGTGACTTTTGAAATATGGGTCCCCCAAAAAAAAATTTTAGTGATAAAAGCATATTAGCATTTGCTGTATTTTGCAAAAAAAAAACCACAACACTTTCTACTTTAATTTGTAATTGTGTCTCTCCATGGCCTTAAAAACTGCATCAAATTCTAACTGAATGATCAAAATTTCTGCCATGGCAAACCCCCGGTGTTTTTTCTACCTCATTCAGTGCTGCATCTCTTCCTGCCTCACACTCCAGCACTTTCTGCCTCAGACTAAAAGCCTCGCGACGCGCCTCTTCCTCCTTGCGCTCCTCCTGAAAAAGTCGAGCCTGCAGCTCCTGCAGCTCTTGCTTCTGCCGGCTGCTCTCACTTTCAAGGATCTTCACCTGTTCACGTCGACCATACACAAAATGTATAAAGGCGAGACACGTATCGGTGTAGACCAAATATCAAACATATGAAGTAAAGGATGAAATTCCACCTGTCTGCGCAGCTCCTGCAGGTCTCTGCGTGCTTGCAGACGAGTCTTCTCCAGATCTCGCACACTGCTCCGTAAAGCGTTTGCCTCTTGATCCATGGAGCTTCGACATTCCTCTAACACGGCCACTTTTTGATTCCTCTCCTCCAAGGCTCGTTTTAGGCTTTACAAGATACATAAAAAAAAAATTAAAAAAAAAAAAGAGTACCATCAAAAGACCATGAGAAAGTTGAATGCCAATCTGCCGTTCTGGCTGTATAATTTACCTTTTGTTCTCGCTCTCCGCTCTCTTGACGAAGACTCGGAGCTCCTGGTTGGAGCTTTGAACGGCCTCTCGCTCCCTGCTCTCGTCTCCTAAAAGTCGTCTCTGGTCCAGAGCTTCTTTCCGTTGTCTGTCCCTTTCCTGTGCACACTCTTGGAGTTCTCTGTGAAGCTCAATTAACTCCTGCTGCCCTTTCACGAGCGCATCCTGCGCGGCCTGCGTCTGCTGGCGAAGGCCTTCCAACTTTAGGGTTTGTATCAGAGCGAATAGAAGATTGTTATTAAAACAGATTCGGCTTTCAAATGAAGAAATAAAAAAAATGCATACCGACCGTAAAGCCTGTTATTTAAGGTCAATAAACTGACTTTATAACAATCGGACTCCAATGCGTTTGTCACTGAACATATGAGCAGAATACACTTTGGAAGTTTGGCATCTTACGCTCTCGGAGCCGCGCACAGTTTCACATTCTTTTTGACCTATATTCTGTTTTACAGCTCCATGTATAGTGTGAGAAACAGGGAGGACAGAGCTTATCTTGGCATGGATATAAGCCAGTTTGGCTTTAGCTAGTGGTTGTCTCTCCCCATCTCCTTACTGTGGCTTACAATGTGAAAAAATGTGCAGAGTGCAACATGATAAATAACAGCCCTCCCCCCGTGAGGGGGCAGGGAAAGGGACAAGGATGTGAAGGGGGAGAGAATGAGGACCAGAATGAGGAGGAGTGTTCTGTGCAAAGGCCACACAAGATGATCTTTTTTCTTTTTTTTTTTCATAAACTCTAATGTGATCAAAAACAAGCCAGAGCTGATCTGGATATTTACACATTATTTTTATCAGATCTTTTGGGGGATGGGGAGCAAAAGAAGGAGAATCTGAGGCCAATATTGTTGTGTTATATACATGGAAGTGGAGCCAGCTTCCCACCGCTGCATGGGAGAAAGTAAACACTCCCCAATTGGATTATTTATACAAGGGAGTAACTTAAACTTTAATTTCATAATAGAGTAGCAAACGCCATATCTGTAGCCCGAGTTCTTAGATGAACTGAACAAGTCTTGGTGGGAAGCCATAAAAAAAAAAAAAAATCTATTTTAGTTTTAGTAAGCTAGGAAAGAGACAAACAACCAGAGCTGATTATTTCGTTTTTGTTGTTCACTTTAAGTTACAACGCTTGATCTTAAAAAACTGCTACTGATGCCTTTTCATCTGGGTTAGGGATGGCTTGATCTGATACTCATGATCAATATCGGTCGAATATTGGTAAAAATTTCAGGATCAAATATATAAAAAAATACAACTATAGCTCGTCCGATCCAATACCTAAGCCCAAACACTCAACTCAACTTTGCGGGACATGTCGTAAACGTGGACACTAACGCCTTAGAACCGGCAGCCTGCAGCATGCTGGAGGAGAGAAGAAGATATCGGAATATCGGTACCAGCTGATACGTACTCCAAGTTGCAGTATCAGTATTGCACTGTGACTAGCTTTCTTCAGTGCTATGTAAACGTAGTGAACGTCTGACATGAGACACTCGACAGAACGACTTCAAATAATTAATAATAAACAGGGGGGTGGGGGGGGTTTATCCAAACCTCGTACTTCCTCTGCTTTTGCTCCACATATACTACAGTTTGACAAGACCACCGAGACAAGAGCCTAATTTTTGGACCGGACCAAAACCTCCCATGCAGATAAACAATCCACATTTCTAAGAAAAGATATGATGAGGCTCTCCCCGGCTCAGCAGTTACGTCTTAATGAGCTGACTCCACGCTTGTTATTTCACTAAACCAACAAGCGACCCCGGGCCCTGACTCCTGACCTCAAGCAACCCCAGCGATGAAAATGTACTGCTCTCATTTGGATTACACGGTCGTGTCACTGGGCCAAATCATTAATCTTAACACAGTTTTATACAATTCAAGGCCAGTGGATATTTGTTTCCCAGGAGGACCCTGATAGGAGAAAGACAGAATCTACGAGCCGAGTGAGACTCCTCAAAAATTGACAGTTCTTTTCCAGACTTTAACATCTGATGGCACCGTGATGCTGTAAAACACCATGGCACAAGGGAGATGACCGGATGACTCTACTTCACTCTGGTAGTAGTAGTAGGTATACTGTAAACTCCACATCACACTAGGAACACATCTTGGGTCTCCAATTCCAATGCACTTTTTCTTTTCAAACCTGACAAAATCGATGGTTTGTTTTTTTCCATTTCCTAAATAAATCCTAATCACCTCAGTGGCAAAAGACCTGCATTCGTCAACGAAACAGCATACAGTATGTTCTTGTTTCCTGTTATTCATTATCCTCACCTCCTTCTCTGCGTGTTCTCTCTGTTTGTTCAACTCCCTGACCTGCTCGGCAAAACTTTTTTTTGTATTTTCATGGGAGTTCAAAGACTCTTCAAACTCCGTCCGTAACTCCTTCAGCTCATACCGAAGGGCAGCAATTACATTCTGGAAGACAGATGGACAGGGGAAAAAATAACAAGACGCATTTGAAACGAAGTGACCGACCGAAGCTCGCAGGACCCTGTTATGTTTTACCTTATCCTGCTCATGTTTGCTGAGTGACTCCCTCTTGGTGTGCTCCAGCTCACTGTGTGCTGTGGCCAAGTCATGCTGCAGGGCTGTAAACCTCTCTGTGAGGGCAGCCTTCTCAGCCTCCTTCTGGGACAGAGCCTGGATACGAGAACGGAACCTTCTTACAACATAACAAATAGCTTAGAAAAAAAAAAGTGTGTTCATGATTTTTTTTGGCTGAAATTGTTGTTAGATGGATGCTGGTGTGGACACTGAATGTCTTTCAGTACACAGTAATTTCATTTAAAACATCTTAAAAAAGAGTAAATCTAATGGTGTAAATCACATATGTTAAACTCAAGGTCCGCGGGGCCAAATCTGGTCCACATTCTCATTTTATGTGGCCCACCAGTTTATCATGCATGGGTTGCTTTTAAAAAAAACTTGATGGCTCGATGTGATCATTTACTAGTGGAAAGCTAAATCTAGCACACATCTGGATGGACTAAATGGTATTAAAGGAAAGAACACAACTAAATGTGACCTTTGCTTTTAACCCATCACCAAAGTGAACAGTGGAGCCTTAGTGGTAACTTAGAAAGTGGTGGACTCGAACCTGAAACCTTCCAGACCCAAGTCTGCTTCCTTAATCACTAAGCCACCACTGCTCCAGTATTTAAAAAAAATAAGAAGAAATAATTTCTCAGTCAACTGAATGATGTCTTTATCTACACATTATGTATTTCCACGCTTTGCAAACCTTTTGTTTGTTAAAGAAAGTGCCAAGGAAATTGAATAAAATTCATTAAAGGGAGAAATCCCATTTATTTGTACAGCATTATCCCTAATGCTAACACCTACTGTTTCTAAGCCTAAACCTAAATCTAATAAAGATTCTCATACTAACCTTAAGCAGAGACTAAAAGACCAGGGTTTTAGTCATTATAATTATCTTCGGTCTTGAGACCAGTAACAATCCTAGAAACAAATCATTAATCATAACTCACACACACAGAGATAAACAGACCTGTTGCTTTTCACTCTCAGCCTGCAGAAGCCTTTTATTAAAGTCCTGTTGAAGTTTGGCCTGCTCCTCTTGCACCTGTTGCAGCTCCTGCTGGCTGCACACACGCTGCTCCTGACACTGTCTCCGCAGCTGCTCCTCAGCCTGCTCCCACTGAAACCCGATGGCTCGATGTGATCGTTAACTGGCGGCAAGCTAAATCTAGCCCGTTGTACATCTGGATGGACTGAATGGTATTAAAGGAAAGAAAGGAGTGAAAAGTGATTGTGTCATTGTCATTGTGACACAGCACATCAGGAAGAAATAATTTCTCAGTCAACTGAATGATGTCTTTATCTACACATTATGTATTTCCACGCTTTGCAAACCTTTTGTTTTCCAGTATTTAAAAAAAATAAGAAGAAATAATTTCTCAGTCAACTGAATGATGTCTTTATCTACACATTATGTATTTCCACGCTTTGCAAACCTTTTGTTTGTTAAAGAAAGTGCCAAGGAAATTGAATAAAATTCATTAAAGGGAGAAATCCCATTTATTTGTACAGCATTATCCCTAATGCTAACACCTACTGTTTCTAAGCCTAAACCTAAATCTAATAAAGATTCTCATACTAACCTTAAGCAGAAACTAAAAGACCAGGGTTTTAGTCATTATAATTATCATAGGTCTTGAGTCCTAGAAACAAATCATTAATCATAACTTTCGGTCTTGAGACCAGTAACAATCCTAGAAACAAATCATTAATCATAACTCACACACACAGAGATAAACAGACCTGTTGCTTTTCACTCTCAGCCTGCAGAAGCCTTTTATTAAAGTCCTGTTGAAGTTTGGCCTGCTCCTCTTGCACCTGTTGCAGCTCCTGCTGGCTGCACACACGCTGCTCCTGACACTGTCTCCGCAGCTGCTCCTCAGCCTGCTCCCACTGAAACCTCAGCTCCACGCACCGCCGCTCCTATCGGCCAGCACAAATGGACACATTCACCTCACCGCTCAGATAAAAGCGTCTTAAATGATAGTGCCGGAGCCGGCCTGTTAGACGCTGTACATGTTTCTGGCGTTCGGTCTCAAGTTGATCTCTGTGTATTTCTTCCATCTTGTTCAGGGTCACTCGGGCTTGCCTCTCCGATTGGGTCAACTTTTCCACCAGTGTTTTTTCTTTTTCTGCGGCCTGTGCCAACTGCTGTTCAGCTTCGACACGCTTGCAGGCAGAATCACCTGGACAAACAGAACCCAGAGCCAAAATCCTACTGATTTGTAAAAAAAAAGTAAAGATTGTAAACGACGACAAATTTACAAGCAAGATTTATGTGGGTTTTTATTCACGGCATTATTCAAATGCATATTTTTCAGTGGACTCAGTTATTGGAACAACACTTATCAGATCCATGTGTTCGAGTGCAGAGCAGTAGGACCCTGGTCAGCTGAGAAGGCAGCACCAGTTATCAAGCAACTCAGGATCACAGCTCACAGCTGTTGCAGAGCTCACAACTGAAATATGGATCTCTGGTGGGCTGTTGGAAAGGCTTCATGGCCAGGGGGCTTGGCATGGAGGCAAGTGGGACCTTTGAATGAGGGGACTACTCACGCGTCAAGGCCTCGTTAGTCAGGAGCAGCCCGTGCTTCTCCTCCTCTATCCTGGTGTTCTCAGCCTGGCTTTCAAACAGAGCGGCCTCTAGGGACTCCTTCTCTGCTCTGGAACACAGCAGAAAAGGAGTTTGAGCAGCGAAAGAAAAAAAAAAAAAGGCTTTGAACCACTAGGTGTAGAAGGTTATAAACTCCAATGATCCATCAGGAGCATAGTTTCCAAATAAATCCGTGTTACTTAAAGACTCTTGTTACATGAGACTCACTGAGCTTTTGAAAGAGGAATGTCCTTTAAAAAAAAAAAAAAAAAAAAAAATCAAATGACGCTAAACACACACTGGCAGCTGGTCTGACTTACACAAACACTTGGTTGTTTACGACGCTTTTGGGGACACGGACTTGATTTATATTCATTCCATACGCATACAGCCTTGGTCATAACCATTACCAACATAACGTACTGTATACAGTACGACCCCATCAAATACAGTCTTAACTGAATCTTGCGATTATCGCAACTTGAAGAACAGAACTTTTCAGAGCAAAAAGAATCAGATTCATACATAAATAAGATTCACTTCTACCTGAGTGCAACCAGCTCCTGCATGAGGCCGTAGGCCTTCCGTTCAGTGGAGTTCAGGTTGACATCCAGAGCAGCCTTTTCCTTAGCCAGCTCTTCCCTGTCCTGAGTAGCTCTCTTCAAGGAGGTGGACTTGGTTTCAAGCTCTTTCTTGCAGACATACAGCTCCTCTGAAATGACCTGCATCTGTCTGGTCACCTAAAGAGAATAACATAACATAACTATCTATTATTTCTGGAGCATCATAGTGTAGCAGCAGTACGATCTGAGTCACCACTCCCCGAGTTTGTTGTTGAGTTTAAATACAACCGAGTTTAAAGCCTTAAATATTCCTTATCCTTGATAAACAGCAAAGAGGTGCTAAAACATATTTGGCAAAAAAAAAAGCCATCATTGTTAAAATTAGAACAATTCATATATTGTATAAGTGCATGAGACTGATTTACTCAACTTTAATAAAAATTAAAAAACCATAACTCCATGACACCTTTTTTTATCATATTTGCTAATGAGATTCTGAGAAAAAAATGTCTCAAAACGTCAGGCAAAATTAGTTTACATTTCTAAAAAGAACTTGCCAAAAATGCCCAAAATATCAAAGAATATACAAAAAGAAATTCCATAAACAAAAAGATTTTTTTTTAAATAATGTTTCAAAACTCCTCAGTTCTAAAGATTTAGAGTTTCCTGAGGTTGTTTCTATCTGACAGACTCCACAGGGTTAAAGCTGAAGTTAAACTATCCAGGGTGTACCCCTCCCTAATGACTGCTGGGACCTCAGCTCCCTGCTGCACTGAAGATGATTAAGCAGTGAAAGACGAGCGAATGACAGTGGATGTAGAAGTGCAGGGTTAGGACATTTTTTAAGGTTTTTCTGAACAATCAATTGAGAATATGACAACAAACGAGTTGACTGTTGCTGTGTAATAGTTCTGGTAGGTGTAATGTTTGGGGGGTTTTGGTCAAGGATTATAAGGAATTTAGAATGTATTAGGCCACAGAAGTCCTTGAAAGTTTTTGGAACAACCTTGAACTGTTAGGAATTTTTCTTTAAAAATGGTCTCCACCTCTCTGCCGTCTTTATGTGATGGTAGAGAGGTGGTGATTCCCATTTCTCTATGTACTGTATGAATTGGCCAATAGTTCTACAACAGTTTAGTTTTAAACTGCAGTTGAATGGAATTCTAGAAGGTTTTTACCACTAGTTAAGTCACTGTTAGTGAACGTTTCTCCTATTCATTCTGCCAGATCAAGAGCTTCTCTGAATGACACAAATGTTACTGGGAACTTACACTGATTGTGACCACCCAAATCACACTGCACCGTACCAACCCCCCTGAACCTTCCTGCAGGTGGTGAGTCCACTGGAAGGTACCAACCGCCCGAACCCTGGGGTTCCACACCAATGACAGAGACATTGTCTCTGGGCCAATCAGTAGGGTTGTTTCTGACTCAATAGAGTGAATAAGTCTTGTTTCGAGGAGATGAGTCTTATTTTTCTGTCTGTAGATTAATCTTGTCATGCGTGTTATGATTTAATAATCCCATCATCTGGAAAATACAGCTATTTTGGCGTGAGAAAGTCCAGCTTTTGAGTGAAAGGGAAGCAGTAATTGGACAAAAATGTTTTACACTGAATGCCGTAAGTGCACAAAGGTTATGTTTTTGCTTCATTTAAATCAATTTGATTCAAAATAGGAATATTTATCTTTTTTTCAGTAGGGTTGTTTCTGTAGTTTAGAACAGGACATTGTTGGGAGGCTACACAGAAATTTGGATCTGCTGTTGGTTGAATACTTGGTGATACTTTATCGGCGTTGTTCAGGAAACTCCAACTCGATGTAATGTCCCCATCTCCCTGTCTCTATCTTATCCAGTTCACAACTGTTAGCTGACACCCCTAACTCGTTGATCAACATTTCTGGCCTTCTTTGTCTTTGTCCTGTTAGAGTGAGAGACACTTCCAACAGACACTGCACAACAGACACTGTTGTATGAAAATTTCAACGCAACAACGAGCTCTGTGAACCCAGCTATTAATAACCCTCGCTCTCCCAGGGAAGGGGAGCTGAAGTGTGAGATTGACTGGATGTCCCTGACCTGTGAATGCTGTTCCAGGGCCTGAGTTTTTTCCCTCTGCAAGAGGCTTAGCTCTGCCTCTAGCTTCTGGCAGAGATTGTGCATGTGGCTGTGGGAGCTGTCGAGGACTTGTTTCTCAGCGAGGAGATTCATTATCTCCTGCTGCACCCGTGCCGTCTCCTCCCTGGCCGCTGCCCGCTCCACCTCGGCTTCACGTCTGCGCTCATCCAGCTCGGCCTTCTCACCTTCCTTCTATGAGAAAAAAAAAATCAAATATTTAACTCAAGTTATGTGTATGTATGATGTGCATCAACGGTTCACCACTGACCTGCAGAAGGATGCGATTGAGTTCCACTTTGTCTTTGGCCAAGCCTTTGCTGAGAACAACCATTTTGGACAGAGAGTTTTTCAGATTTGCTTCCTGACTCTGCAGTTTGGTAATTGCTACTTCCTGTGCCGATCCCTGTGACTCCAGCTGTGATGGGTGAAATGAATGAATGTAAACAAAGCGCCGCATGACGACGTATCTGTCCGCTCCGCTCAACAACCAGATCAGGGGTGGCCACCAATCAGGAGGCTTAGAGCCACAATTTTTACCATCTTACTGCAAAGAGCCGACACACATGAACTGGTCCATCGCTTTGAAAAATAAAGTAAATTAAACTCTCCCAGTCTTTTAAAATCTTCATCTTTGTGAATTGGGTTTTCCCTACGTAATTTGCGTCAAAAAAGCACAAACAAATAAAAATAAAATTTGACATGAATGTAAGAGTCGCATGAAACTGCGCAAAGAGCTGCCCGCATGTGGCCCCCGAGCCGCAGGTTGGCCATGCCTTAACTAGATCATGTGCAAAAGTTAGTTTTAACGTACGTCTGAATGATTGATCAAGATTTTCTTGATAAATTTATGAGGGACGGCGGTTCAACAACAAGGACGTTGTTAACATTGTAAACCAAGGACCTCCTGTATTTCATTATTCACATTAGTCTACACCAGTGGTTCCCAAAGTGAGGTGCGGGTCCCTTTTGTGGGGCACAGAGTTTTTTTTTAACAATTAGTGATTGATTAGTGATTAGTGATGTATTTCCTTAATTGGGGGAATAGCCGTTAAATTAAGTTCTGAATCAGTAGCTGTGAGTGTGCTGACATGGGGCATAGAACAGGATTCCTACTTACAATGGGGGAAGAAACGGTGTTTACCTTGCTAACAGCCAGAGAAAGACTGGCCTTGTCCTCCTCCAAAACCTCCTTTTGCAGAGTTATTTGATTTAGGTTCTCCTTCACTGTCACCAGCTCCCTACGCAGCTGAGAGTGCTTCTCTTCCAGCTCCTCGAGGCTACTTTTGCTGAAAAACAAAATTTATCACATACATAACCCTCTCACACCATTACTGTCTCTGTTCCACATAGATTATTTGTGTAAACAATATCCCTTGACAGTAATCCATCCAGTGCTTTCTTGGAAGATGTAGAAATGTAGTGCCAAAGGCCACAACACTGAAGGAATTTCTTATTTGTTGCGTCGCATGTTCCGCTCCAATTTCCAGCTAATCAAATTTTTAAATCAAACAAAAACCCAAAGCAAACGAGGGGGGCGGGGGGGTTGAAAGACTCCCCGACGCATGAGCGCAGTAATGCAATGTAAATCATTTACATTTTCGTTTAAATGTAATCCGGACAGTGACATGTGTTACTAATCTGAACTCTAAATAAACAGAGCTTGAAGACAATCACAGGGGACGGGATGTGCGTAACGGTCATTCTTCCACGAGCGTGTGTACCCTCTCTGGGCCTCTGTTTGCTGGCGTGTCAGCTGCATCTCAAGATCCTCCCTCTGTTGCATCAGGAAGTCCTGCGTTCTCTGAAGCTCCAGCGAGGAGCCCTGCAGCGCCTCCAGCTCGGCACGCTGGGAGTCCACCTCCTGCTGCAGTCCTGACACCAGCTTCTCTTGACTGTCCTTCTCACTGAGAGAGATAAAGTCAGATAGATGTAAAAAAAAAAAAAGGGGACAGAGAGTGAGAGCATGTGCCGAAGGCAAGGGTTGCACAACGATGTACAACATCAGCATTGACATCACACTTGATGTTTCTGTAACCAATATCAACAGAAAAGAGCACAACACAACAAACATCTGCTCCAAGGTGTCGGGCATCGGATTGGGCTGTCCATAATTGAACAAGAATTAAAATCAACCTCTTCAACTTCAAAGCTAAATTATTCTCACAACATTTGTCATAATCATAGATCGATATTAAGAAACAAAACACAAACTGAAACCCTTGACCCAACTGTGCTGATTTCGCTGTGAAACCAGAAGTACCTGGAGATGAGCTCCAGAGAGCGGCAATATCTGCTGCTGTCTCGGATGCTTTCCGCCAGCGATGTCTTCGCCTCCTGACTTTCCCGTAACACTTCCTGGACCTTCAGCTCAAGTTCCCTCTTCTCCGAGTCTCTCTCCTGTAGGTGACGGCGCAGATCGTCCACTTGCTCCAGCGCTGCATCCAGACAACCACGTAGATCCTGTGGTTTTTTTTGTAAAATAAAAGCAGTTATAGATTAGCGCTGCAGAGGTAAAATGCTATCAGTTAGCAACGGAAACGGATTTCTAAATGTTAAAAAATATGCTACTACAAGTTCTTTTTTGTGTTTTTTGGTGTACATTTTTTTAACTGAAAAGGCCATCAGCCATGGTAGAGTGGAGTGAAGAAAGAAATTAAAGTAAATGTGGAAAACTGAAGGTTCTTCCTGGGAGGTTTATGGTCTTAACAGTTTGGCCTCTGGCACCTTTCACAAACATTATTTAATTGCTGCAAATTGTAATTAACCAATGAGGAAAAAAGAGAACAACACAGCAGGTGACGGAGTTTCTGGGAAGACAACACGGCGTTAACTGGCTGTTGTTTTGCAGCCAGTTACTGCGTAGATTTTGAGGGAGACCATAGACGATATCTTGGTGAGTGGCGCTTTGGCCAAGAGGCAATGTCTCTGTCATGGGTGTCACCTCCTGGTCGAGATCAAATCCCGGTTAGGGCGGTTGGTACCTTCCAGTGGACTCACCACCTGCAGGAAGGTTTAGGGGGGTTAGTACGGTGCAGTGTGATTTGGGTGGCGGTCATGGAGACTGCTGCCCCCGTGATCCGGTGACGGATAAGCGGATGTAAATGTACAGATGTATGGATATCTTGGTGAAAGATTTACTCTAAAAAAAACCTGGGCAGTTAATTTTGTAATGCTGTTTGTGTGTTGTTGTTGTTGTTTTTTTTTTACCTGTGCTTGTTTTTGGTGTTTAGAGAGTGCACTCTGCACAGCCATTACGGTATTATTCTTCAGAGCAGACCAGTCAGGCTGAGCTAAAGAGTTATCAGAGCCCTTCCCTCCAACCAACTGGACAGAAGCAAGAGAAGAGAGAGAAGAGAATTATTTACACAGATAAACAGATTTGACTCGTAACCCACTGACCTATATTTATCAAGCCCTCTTTTTTTATTTTTTTCAACCTTGTGAACTTGGCTTAAAATCTTTTGGAGAGTCTGGATCTCTGTGCGAAGGTCCTTCATGTCTGCTTTGTCCTCTGTTCTCCTCTTCTCCTGGGAAGGAAAACACCAGGGTCAGATAAAAAGTGCACAGGGCACGAGCTTGACATTCCCCAGATTACAGCCCACTAGACGCGGAAGTTATGGAGTTTATCAAACCTAAGGCCCGGATCACATCCACTTTACCACCCATTTATCTGCCCACCTCCCACCACTGAGTCCCAGGGTCCCACCATCGTGTCCAGACTGACGTGCGCGGCTGCGAGGCTGGCGTCCTTCTCATTGTTCCGGCCGCGGAGGTGCTTCACCGTGTCCGACAGCTCCAGGATTCTGTACAGACCACCGGGAGCAAAGTCCCCCAACACAAAGACAGAGAGAAGACACAGCGCTCCTTTACAAGACCATCAACGCTATCGTGTTTCGTGAGCGCAATAATAGGCTTAACACTGGCTTTTGATAAGAGCCGAGGTCCAAGCGTATAGATCCATCTACAAAGGCGCTCACGTTTCTGCAGACATCTGACTAAACAGCAGAGAACAATACAAGAGCAGACCTTTGGTTTTTTTTTTTTTTTCCATAAGCCGTGAAAAAACTTTAGTTCGAAGTTTAGGATTTCAACGATCAAAGCTTACAGTACGTATTACATCATAGAGAGGAGTAATCAAGGGGTTGACGTTTCTTTCTCTTTCCACAGTTGTCCGCTTGTTATTTTATGGGTTTCTGTTAAGGTTTTTGACCGATATACATATGTAGTAAAACTCCGGTATAAACTTCCCAAACAGAAGTTCAGTGAGTTTTAACAACATTGATTTAGCAGCAACACACATCATAAGATTTGGAACGTAACCGCTGCCTAAGCACAAACAAAAAAAAAACAGTCAGAAACTGTACGCACTGTATTTATTTACTGATGCTTTTACCTGGAGTTGAGACGGACTTTTTCTGTATCCCATTGACTCTGATGTTGCAGGGCCTCTTTTAACTTGTCCCTCAGCTGCTTTTCCAGCGCTGAGATTTCTGCACCACTAGAGGTGCTGTTCTGCACCGCTCTGGCCTCTAAGCTCATGCACACGGACCTCAGCTGCTGTCTGACGGCGACGAACTCCCCTCGCATGTCAGACAGAGTCCTGTTGGAAAGAGTCACGTGAATCAATCTCAACATGAAAATATCATGACATATTAAAAGAGTAAAGAGCAGTGACCTTATGCTTTAAACCGGGGTGTCAAACATACAGCACGCGGGCCCAAACTGGCCCACTAGGGGATTCAATCCGGCCCATTTCATGAATTTTGTTGGGTTTTTTTGTCAAATTATATTTCACTAAAGTTGAATATTTTCTAATGTTCATACTAAGTCAAATCATATTTATTTATTTAAAGCCTAAAATAAAGTACAGCACTGAACGTGTCTGTAACCTGAGCCACTCAAGAAGCCATGTCCTACGAGGCCTACGGTTCGTCCTGATCGATGAGTTTAACAGTGAACAGATGAAACAATGAGCGGGGAGACAGGTGACCCCGTTGACCTCTTCCACTTTGATCCTGGGCTCAGAGAATGAAACTGGGCTTGTAGTCATGAGACACAAAAGAATTTTGGGGGTTCGTATTAGATCCCGAGATGCTGGGGGGGGGGTTCTGGAGGCCTGCCACACTCACCTGTCAGTGAACGTCCTCAGATGCGTAAAAGAGCACTGCAGGGAGGAGGCTTGGCGCCACAGCACTTTGACACGGGGCTGTTCACGAGTCAGCCGAGGGGCACGAGTCTGCAGAGAGAGGCAGACAACAAGTGGAGATAAGGCCCTTGGTAAAGGGTTGATTACATCAAATGACAGATTTTTATTTTTTATTTTATTGTGACAGCAATTACTGTATTTTCCAGACTATAAGCCGTTACTTTTTTTTTTTATAAAGATGCAGCTTTTCTATGGATTTTTCTTCAGGACGCCCCCCCTGCTAGAACGCCAGGGGAGCGTTCTAGTAAGGGGGTGTTCTAACGCCAGGGGGGCGTTCTAGCAGGAAGTGGAAAAACAAGACAGACAGGGGAAGTCAGTGCGAAGAAGAACACGCTATTTTTTATTTAGCACGACAGCGACTTATTTTCACACCCTCACCCCGTCATCATGGAAAGCACACGAAGAAGTTCGTATGATGCAGCTTTCAAGTTAAGGGCCATCGATCTGGCTAGCCAGGGAAAAAATAGGGCTGCTGCACGTATATGTGTAAATTTATGTATATATTTTTTTTTTAAATTGTGGGTGCGGCTTATATTCAGGTGCGATCTATAGTCCGTAAAATACGGTATTTTGTTAAATGAATAAACATACAGATGACGTTCAAGAGAAAATATTTTCATATTTTATAACCTGGCAGCACAACAACAGCTGAGACCACTGTTCATTCTAATTTATGTCACACTATAAAACTCTGAATGCCTGTTCATCATTTTATCCTTCTAATTGACAAATCTAACCTCGTGTTCTTTTGTATCCGGTAAATATGTCATTCCTCAACCTATCGGCGGCTTATAGTCCGGTGCGGCTTATATGTGTAAATTTATATGGTTTTTTTTTTAATTAGCGGGTGCGGCTTATATTCAGGGGCGCTCTATAGTCCGGAAAATACGGTAGATACAATTAGGAAAATATGAATGGGATTCCTACACTGTACTGTATATTCAGGAATTTCATTGAACGATTGCATCAGTGAAAAATAATTCATGTTCATCTTTCCCGTTCATTCTCTTTTCTGGTGTTTCTCACCTCCTGCTCTTTCTGCAGATGGTTACCCCACAACTCCACGTCTTCTTGGACCTTCCACAAGCTCTCCGTTAGCTCCTGGTTGACGGTGCCCGCCTGCTCCAGCTGTTCCCTCAGCACGGAGTTCACCCGGCTGAGACTGGCACACCTGGAGGTAACAAGTCTCATGACACCTGACCGATCATTTACTGCAGCATTGGTTTGCTGTGAGGACAGCCGTAATACGGGGAGTATGATTCTTACATCTGCGGACTAAAGGTCCGACCTGGACGACCAACTTCACGACGTAAACATTGTTACGTCTGTGTCAACTTAAGATTTCATTTCAACCAGATCTTCCAGTGTAGTCATTTACAAATCATTCAGTTTGATTTTGTATCCAGTATACTGACTTTATAAATGTAAGTGTGGTGTACAGAGCAGGCTACAACAAAATGATCAGTTCCTGGCAACGGCTCTGCCACGGGCAATTAAAATAAAGTGTCAAGCCCGCATAAATTACCGAGCAATAAAATTGCGCCTTAGCTGCCGAGGTAGGCCAAAACTGAAAGCAAGGCTCTGTTAAAACACTTTGGAGAGAAGTGCCAACATAGCCCCGATACATTTTCTCTACAAACCTAACATAATAACATAATAATTCTCCAAGGACACGATCTGCTCTCACCTCATACTAAAGGCAGCCGAAACAGCCAAAAGTGCAGCCAATATCACTGATTTGAAATTGTTTGATTCTTGCTCATCTACAGAAAAAATGAAAACAACGACTGCCTAAAGTTCTAGTTTACATCCGTATCTGTCCAAACTAATATGTTCAAATTTGTCCCCATACAAGAAACAAGTGTTTTCTTCCAGGTCTTTGGTTACATCTTCCTAACAGTTTCCTTTAAATATTTTGTGTATTGAAAGCTGAAAACAAATACCCTTTTTTTTTTCATTAAAATTGTCTGGGTCTCAGTTTTCTATATGATTACAATAACAAAACGATATAACATTAATATATAATTATACACTGAAGTTCAACTGTCTGTTTAATGAAAGCATTTTTTTTTGCCCCCACTTCCCCCCAAAAAAAGGTAATAAATATGGATACAAAAGTGACTTTGTTTTGGCTCTGCCTGGCGCCTGTACCTCACCTTTTCTGCTCCTCCTCCAGCTGAAAACACTTCTTTTCTATAGCAGTATTGAGATCCTGCTCTGTTTGCTGTTGACGCTGAGCTCTGTCCAGGTGAGTCTGCAGCTGAACACACACACACACACACAACTTAGTGCGATAATATTAACATAATTTAACTGCATTCCTCCATAGGTGTTAGCAGATAGCACATAGTTGATATGACTCAATGAGCAAAAGGGTGTACAGTCATTCTTGGAATAAAATAAATAAAAATGACAGTGTTGAAGGGAAAAACACCAGTTTCACAATTAAATACTCAAATGTTGCAATTTTGGTGCAAAAAAATTTGAGTAAAATAAAAGTCAAACTTTCGACCTAAACATACCAACAGTCGCATCTTCTCTAAATCTGACGTTTTCTCCAGAGCCAGCTCCTCCAGCTCTCCACATCTCTTTTTGTACTGTAGAACCTGGTGATGTAGGAGAAGATGAACAACGAATCCAAAAGGTAATTCTTCTTTTTTTGTTTTTTTTTTCATAACCGTTAACTTTGTCATTGCTCACCTTAGTCTGCAGCTTCTCGACGAGTTGAGCTTGTCTGCCCTGGGCTTCCTGGTAGAGCTGCAACCTTTGGCTGTAAGCTCTCTCCTTGTTTTGTAGAAACACACTCTCTTGGTCTGAGTCCGCAGCGTGTAGCGTTAGCATTTGATCAACCTGAATGTTGTGAAAAGGAGAACATGGTTGAATGAGGTTGCATTCCAAAAGATTGCAACAGAGCGCAACGATCGCTGCCAGTTTTCTTTTTTTCTATTTTTGACAGTGTTTGTTTCAGTTCTCAATTTAATGAGTAAACAAAACAGTATTTTTGACAGTGTTTGTTTCAGTTCTCATTTATTACTGATTCAAATACAGAACTACTGTGAGAACGCCAGACATAAATAGACTCTAAATTAAATTTCTGATTAGGGATGACTCAATACAACTTTTACATGGCCAATATTGATTCTGACGCTACAACTTGACGCGTAGGTAAGTGACACATTTATATATATATCATTTTATTATATATATAAAATTATATTATTATTATATGTGTTATGTATTATGTATAGGTACAGTATGTGAGTTCAGACTTTGAGTTACCTTGCATTGTAAGAAAGGAACTTATATTGTATCTTATTTAAATGTACCAATGAATAATTGCTCAGGTAAAGACAACAATATCTACAAAAGGGATTTAAACCTTTATGGCCTGTGGTTGAAAAGAAAGATAAAATACTGCTTTGAAAGTCATTCGGATGTAGAAAAAAAAAAAAAAACTTAAATCACTGTTTATCTGCACTGCTCCCCCCCTTTGTAGATCGCAACGTAGAACTTTAACTGAACTTTAAAACACTGTAGTAAATTGGTACATTTACAAAAAATTAAGCTGACCCTCTGATTTATATGATTCCATGACATAGAAATACAAAACAAAACAAGGTTGGTCTATAATCACCTTAAAAAGTCATGAAGAATGAAGCTGGTGTGACTGTGATCAATCTGTTAGCTAAATGCGTCTCAAATTTATAAACAATTTTTGTTGTTGTTGTTGTTGTTGACATTGAGAAATCTCATATCCTCCGTTATACTCAAACCAAATGTCCTATAACCTCTCAACCTCACACAACCTAAACTCTCTCTGCACCACCCACTCGCTGTCCCGGTGCCAGACACCCTGTCCTCACTAATACAAACCACATGGGCTAGAACACTACAACACACTGCATGCTTTTAAATCCCTGTGCCGGCTTCTCGTTTAAAAGGAAGGGAAGAGAGCCCCCTCCCCTGCAACACACTCCTAACCACCATCCGAGCACTTTAAATCAACCCTGCGACCCATTCCCTTCCTCCTCCACTCTGTACCTCATCTCTTCTCTGGGTGCTTAATCTCTCCAGCAGGTTCCATGAGAGCCAAGACAATAGTCTCCCTGTTCAACACCGGGTCCAAGCCACTTTGCCACAATTATTTACACATATTTAAATGCCTTTTCACTTTTTTTTTTTATTCGGGGAAGCCGCGCTAACCGCCATCATGCGCTTGGCCCTGTGCAAAAAAGCAGGAAAAGCACAAAAGCTTCTTTTATTGCTTGTTGTTGAGATGACAGCTTTAAAGACTGAGAAGAGAGGAACAACAAGGGCGGAGTGTTCAAAACACACAGAATGACAGCAGCTGTGTTTAAAGGGAATCCTGAAAACAGCTGCGTGAAAAGCATTAGTGATTATGCATTTTTTTTTTCCCCCCCGATTTTTTGGCACCAATACGGCAATAACACTTACTTGCTAACAAGAGCACACTTTGTAAATACATCTCGAATACACAGTGACAACACACCAGATTTAGGGCAGCGAATGAACACAAGGTTATTATTGTGAATTTTTCAAATACAGTTAAGGATTATCTCTTGAAAACTTGAAAAAATGTATAATCAATTTATGAATCCAGTAGACAAGTACCAGATAAATCCCGTTAAAGGCACGTGTCAGATCCATAGACGGTGCCATCTGTCTGACAAGGGACATTAAGAAAGAACCTTCTTCTAAGGATTTCACATTGACAGCCACTTAACTGTGAAACACAAGTGCATCGGCATGAGTTCCCAAAATAAAAAAGGGCGGATAAATAAATACTTGTTAATAAATTGAAGATGCAGCATGAATATCTCTGGATTTTCCACTAATACTTGGAGCATGAGGTCCATCCCAAATTTCATCAGCTGGTAAGCAATGTTAATAAAGTTCACATCCAGCGACCGCCCTTCAATGCTCTTATCTTGAAAAATGTTTCAAAAGTGTATTATTTATACTATAAAGTAACACCTTCATGTCTAGTACAGAGAACCAAACAAATATTTTACTTAGTACTTTGGCAGCTTTGTAAGCTTTATTAAGGAGGGAGATAGAAGTTATCAAAATAAGATGTTTCCTCGCCTAGATAACAGGCGCCCAACCCTTTGTGACTTGCCCGACTGACTCAGTTCCACCAGGGGGCCACATCAGCAATACAGTTCCCCTTGAAGGGCCGTTTGTAAATGGAATACTGTATAGATCAGGGGTTCCCAACCCCCGGTCTGTGGACCAGTACCAGTCCATAGATTATTTGGTACCTGTTAGTTTTTATTCATTTACTTCATTCAAAGAAAATCCAAAAAAATCCACCAAATCCATTTACTTTATTTAAAGATAACCTGGCAATATTTTAAAATAATAGTTCATTCAGACTCTGAAACAAACAGAATAGAGTCTAGTAGATGTTTTATTTTGAAAATTTAAAGATCCTTTAATGCTCAGCACCTTGGTACCGCTCCGTAGTAATGGGTGGTACTGGCTGACCACTGGTATAGCTGTAGAAATGTAGCTGGCTGCATTTGGACCCCGGGCCTCGAGTTTGACACGTATGCTGTAAAGTCATCACTGGTGAACAGTTATTGAATGAGTCCTTTTGAGATGCAGCACATATTTTACATTTAAAAAAAATCCCCTGACACCCCATTTATATCCAGTATCTCTCCTCAGCACATGTCCAAACCACTGAACCTTGCCTCACCAACTTAAAACTGTAATTTTAAACAGTTCAGTTTTATCTGTCCCTCTGACCTGCTCTTTTGTAATCGTTCACTGTGTCGCCTCCCTTAGGAATACATCATCTTGAAGTCCTAAAAGGAGGGAGTTGACCAGTCTGGGGTCATGATGTGAGGCTAATGACCTCACCCTCAACACTGACAAGACAAAGGAGATGATAGTGGACATAAGGAGGGAGAGGAGACCTCTAGAGGACTTCACCTGGACTCTAAACACCATACAAGACTGTGCTGTTGGTGCGGCAGCATCACTGTTATGGACTGTAAACGGCTGCGGAGAAGACGGCCAGGACCCCACCACAGAGTCCACAGGAGAGCTGCCTCCTTCCTCCAAGACCCCACTGACCCCCCCATCCCCCTCCCCAGCACGGACTGTTCACACTTCCCCCCTCGGGCCAATAGTGCAGAAGTGTGAAATGCAGGACTTCCAGACTAAATAACGTTTCTTTTCCCACTGCCACCAGAGTCCTAACAGCTGAGGGGAGTTTAAAAATGGACGAAAACCCATTTACATCCCGACACATCCCCTACTACAACTGTACTCCACTGTTTACTTTCACTTCGCACGTTATGCTGACCACTGCACGCAGCTGTTTGTGTTGTTGCACAATATTCGCCGTTTTTCGCAGTTGTTCGCATCTCTCCTTCCATTTCCTAAGATATACTACCACACTGTTTATATTCGGGTTGTACTTTTTTTTTTTTTTCCCGCATGCTGATTTTACTGCCTTTGTTGTGGTTTTTTTTTATTTTTATTAGTGTATTGCTAGTTACGCATTTATTTACTGCTGTATATCACTACATTTCAATACTGCCTTTATTTAGTTTCTTATTTATAGTCCACTTTCATTGTTTGCCATTCCTTTTGGATCACAGAGTAAGAATTTCACCGTACAGAGAAACGTAAACAACAGCCATAACGCACAACCCTTGTGGCGTTGTGCGGAGTCACAAAACCACAGCTAAGAGAACTGTTGTTCTCAACAAACACTACAGAATTTAAGATACTTTTTGTGCAAGACCCTATGTTGGAGATTGACGATTCAGATTGAGCAAACGAAAATAATTCTACGTTCTTCTCTTTGGTGCAAATTAAGCAAAAAATATTTAAATTGTTTGTTTGTTTGTTTCGCCCCTACAATAGCTACGTGCCCCCTACTTTGGGAATCGGCGTCATAGAGATGCAGTGAGACATTATATAGCCTTCCCTACCTTACCTCTCTACCATGACGAAGAGTGTTGTTTGCGAGGCTTCATACATAGCTACAGCGTTTGGGCGTCTTGCCAGTGCTTCGCCCCTTTTCCATTGAATACAGGGAGGACTTTTTTTTTTTTTTTTATGGTTTCTCCCTAGTCAGCTGTAAAGCAGGAGGCCGGAGGCTGCTATGGATTAGCCATGCTACACGCAGCAAGCTCCCCCGAGGATGCCTTAATAGTCCGTCGTGGAGACTCCCACCTTCACTAAACTCTCCTACACCATCTACTCCCTTGGCCGGCGTGCATTATTAAAAAATGACCACTGAACTCATTCCTAATAACAACACACCCATTTAACCGTGACTAAAAAAAAAAAAAAAAAAAGGCAAAAGAGCTTAACAATTAATCCCAGTCCTCCATCCGCCCCAGCTAAGGATCGTAGAGCCCGACCGCGATCACCTAACACCTTTGCATTTAATGACCTATAGAAATCAACCCTCCTGAAGCTTTCACTGCTCTGCAGAGTGAGCTCAGCCCAACCCAAACGGAGGCTGACACTTTAAAAGTAATATATTACCTTTTTTTTCTTAAACAATAATGTTCAAGATGCAACCCATACAAAAACAACTCAATCACGTCTTGGTTTGTTTTATGATCCATATGGTTGCTACGGTTCCTTCATTTTTTCAATTACAACTATCCGTTCCTCGAGCTCGGCTTATGTTTCTAAGACCGCTCAGCCTGTAAAATGTGCTTTAAATTAGCTTTTTAATATTTGGGGATATTTATGATTTGTGCCACTCCTTGCATTGTCTCTTTTGATAAATATTTCAAACAACATCAAGGGATAATATCGCTTTGAATCATCTGCCAGCAAGCAACGAGAAAATAATTTTC